TAATCAGGACTGATTCTGCTTAGCTGTCTATCAACAGCTACCCAGTGCTATTGACATGTTCTGGGTCCCTTCTGTGAAGCAATGTCACTTGATATGACCCAGGAAGTACAGCTTTGCTGTTCCAGATTGCCTTCCCCTCAGAAGCTTGGATGGCTCTGGTTCTGTTGGCCTTTCAGAAGCACTGAAGACTTGACTCTTCCTTCTGATGTTAAAAACAGTATGTTAGTAAATTTTGGTATGAGTATTTTGTTTTTACTCTTATTATACAAATGCTCCAACTAAGTTTTTAACTGAGGGTTTTTTGGGGGTACTTTACATTATATTTATATACCTTTCAACTAGACTCTCTATATATATTTGCACAAATAAACAAGATTTTATATTTGAGATATCTATCGCTTTCTCCTTTCCACAGAATTACTGCACATTTACTCAGGGAGAGGACCTTGCCCAACCTTTTTCTCCTTTGCTATTTTTAGCTTGAAAAATATTTGCTTTTTAAGAGTTTGAAAATGTGTGAAGACCTACGTAACCAGTTTTAAACCAAACCAAGCCAAGAAACTTTTGGAAACACAGAGCTGCCAGCTAATAAGGTCATTTGATTGTCTCTGCAGAAAATAAGAAATTAATCTAAATATCTATTGTTGGTTATGTGCCTGTGTGTATTATTATCCATACAACAAACATTTTAATAAAGGTTCATTTTTGGAGCATTTGTTTTTAGACTATTTTAATACAGTGTATATTGTGAAAACAGTTGTAACCTGTAGTTGAAGTTACACTCATGTGAATACTAATTGAGAAGTAAGTATCTTGGAATACAGTGAAATTTACAAGATGCATGATTCAGACTAGGATACTGGTATGGACAAGTATATTCGTACCTTTAAAATAAATTGGCACAAATTTCCAGTACTGTATTTCTAAGATTAACCAAACTATATTGAAACAGTTTTCTAATATTTATCATAATAACATTAAACAAAACCAGGGAGAGGGCTAGATTTAAAACATTGAAGTATTTGGAACATGACCTTATGAGGAAATTCAGCATAAACAATAAACTAATTTCAAGTACCAATCTGTACTTGGAACTGAAGCTATCCATTTCTTCTCTGTCTAATAGTCAGATAGCAATAGTTTATTTGGCAGTAATTTTGTTAAGTGCTGGTTCTTATGTATATACACCAAGTAAAACTAACCAGCATCTCTTTTGACCTGCTCGAGATACATACTGTGTGGCAAATCAAAGTGTTGCTGAAGCAGTGTTTCTAGAGTGCTTCCAAGTAACCATAATGGCTTAATCCTTTGGAAAATGGTTCAATAACATGTAGAAGAACACTGACACTCCATCCCTGTTCTAATAATTTCAATTTTCACCTTGAAATTATGATTGAATGTATGTAGGTAGAATGCCAAAGGTATCGCTAACGTTTAATAATCTCTAAGATTTAATAATCACAGTAAAACATATCCTGTATAAATAAATATTCAAATAACAAATATAGGAGATGGCTTGTAAAAACATAATAAAGAGCTTTATTATGCTTCCCCAGTGAAAATAGGAGGATGTCTTGGGAAACAACACAAAAGTACAAAATGATGAAGAAGGAGCAGGGAATGCAATGAAATCTTACATTTATTCAGAAGTAAATCACACTCATTCAATAGGATTTATATCTATGTTAAATACGCATTTGACTGCAGCCAAAGAAGCTTCCTCTCCAGTTAAGATACATATTTACTCTCTTCGGGTCACTTTATAAAGTGGATAAAGGAAAACACAGTTTTGAAATTGCTTACCTTTTCAATGCTGCAGTATCTTTTTAGTTTTTTTTCATTACAGTGAGGGCATGCAGAATCCATTTCAGTTGTCCAGTTCTTAAAATCCATGTACTATGTATATAATTCAAGGAATATTATTCTGATAATTTTAGGTTTTGCCACAAGATCACATTTCTATGGTTCCACCTTTCTCCCCGAACTTAGTAAGTAGGGGATATTGTAAAAACATATATTTTAAACAAGCATTACCCTTATTACATCTCCAACAAATTGCTGCTTCATAAGTCCTTTTTATAGAAACATAATAGAGTCCAATATGTTATTAAAAGCTTTATTAAACAGTTGCTAAGTAGTATAAATTGCATTTTAAAGAAAGTACATATAAAATATATTTGGCTTATGATTTTGCTAGACTTACTTATATCTGTTTAATCTGTTATCTCTATATTACCATTGCTATAATGACATCTACTGGTAAAAGCAGTTACTGAATACTTAAGAAATAAACTTTTTATCAGTAGAAGTATACACTCCTTCAGGGCTGATATTCTTTTAACCCTATTATTTCTATATCTTTTTGATGGCACCAAAGATACATAAGCCAAACATTTGATACCTCTTGTCTGCTTCTCCCTGGTTAACCATAGTTTATTGAATTATTGAATTATTCAACACAGTTGAATCTACGCAATAGGCTAAATCATAAACCAAATTATAGCAACTGGGTTTATGTAATACTGTAGGCCAAAATGAAATGAATCATATTACTTATTAGAGTGTCCTGTGAACTGAGCTTTTCAACCACTCACCTAATCCTTTTTCATAGAGCAGCACCCCTTTGTTAGCACAGCAGCTGCAATAGTTACAGATTGTAATATGAAAGATTGTGTCAGTGCTAAGTGTGTATGCTAAGTCATAACAGTGTATGCTAACAGTGAACTTTGGTGTCAATCACTTGAGAAAGATTTTCTAATGTTAACTGAATAGAAGAAGAAAAAAATAGGCTGATGTAATGGTATGTGTAAATGAGACAGATGAACGGGGACAAATGTTGTGCAGAGAACAATCATATAAACGGCCACCACTACAGTTACTTAAAGAGCAGATAAAGAACTTCCCTTACTTTCTCAGGCTGTAAAAGAAACATGGGAGATTTGTATTATAAATCTGCAAGATTGGTTTAATATAGTCTTACAATAAAATAGAATTAATGCATCTGGTATTGATTCTTGTCTAATCTACCTGGGAAGGATGACATATAATTATGCAAATCCAGAGAATTCGTTACAATAAGCATTCCTTTAGAGTCTGTCTTGAAAAACATTTGTGATAGCTTTAAATCAATAAGACTTTAAATCAATGACTCCAATAAGTAGTAAGTGTACTCTAGGACATTTAGTATTATCTGATTTACTTCTGCAGTTTTTAATCTCACTATATTAAGGTAAACTATAGCATAAAGTTTTTGTAGCTATAAAAGTCTTGTTTATTTCTTTACTCTTCTAAATACATTTTTCCTATAAAAAAGGTTACATGTGTGTGGTTATTTTTTAAATTAGAGAAGAAATTATCAAATTTTTGATCTTAGACTCTCTTGCATTCTTAAAAATAATTGAAAACCTCTAAGAGCTTTGGTAAAGTAATATTTACTGTATTATCTATTAAAAACAGGCAATTTTAAGATATGTATTTGACTTTGCAGATCTCCTGAAAGGATGTCAAAGATCACCAGGGATCCCCAAATCACAATGCGGTTCAGAAAATATTCCAGAAAAAAACCAAAATGAATAACAGGTGGCATGTATATAGGCCACTGTTAAGTTTGAGCAATGAGAGGCTGAACCAGAGCATGAGTGCAACAATACTTTATTATAACAATAAAGGGCTGACCGTGCTTGCCACGCCTGGAACTGGCTCGCAGCAATCAGCAACTGGTTGGACCCTGCAGCCTGCTTTTATAGCTGGCTGCTGGAGAGAATCAACCAATGAGGAAAGGGGGAAGAACGCCCACACAAAGTGAGTGGACCTGAGTGAGAACTCCTAGAGTCCTCAGGACATAACACCCCTTCCCCCCAGATGCGAACATGCATAGTCCTTGAGGTAGACGGGGGGTTTGTGTTGGCGCCCGGAACGGCGCAGCTCGGGAGCATTGTCTGTCCGTTCAGAATCAGTCTGTGACGGTTGAGCCGGCAGCGTGTCGCCAACGCGCTCTCCGGATTGGGCATCCTCGGGACTCACAGGGTTGGATACTGGGGGCGAGTTCCCGTGGGCTGGATCAGGCTGGTCAACTCTCGGGGCGCTGTTGTCCGAGTTCGGGCTGACCAGAACGGCTGTTGGTGCGGACTGGATGTTGGGTGCGATGAGGCTGAGAGGCGGATGAGGCGGTTCCCCTTCGTCTGGTGATTCTGGATTTCTGCTGGCAAGGGTGCTGTGGCGCCTCCGCAGTTGGTCTATGTGCCTCCTCCAGACGCGACCATCCTCCAGCCTGACCCTATACGATCTCGGCCCGGTGATGGCGATGACCTCGCCTGGCATCCATAGTGGGTCCCCAGCGAAATTCCTCGCGAATACAGGCTCCTGTAACATAAAATGTCTAACCCCCGAAGTGGAAGCGAGGGGAGAGTCAGGGCAGTATTGTGGGTGAAGTCTGTCCAATACAGTCCTCAGGCGCCGGCCCATCAGGAGCTCTGCTGGGGACTTATTGGTGACTGAACAGGGGGTTGAGTGCTGGCTCATTAGGAACCGTGAGAGTTTGTGGTGCCAGTCATCCCTGCTGAACCTGGCGAGGGCTTCTTTGGTGGTCCTGACGGCTCTTTCCGCCAACCCATTACTGGCAGGGTGAAATGGGGCTGTGAAAATGTGGCGGATGCCCAGGTTGGCAGTAAAACGGCTGAACTCTATTGATGCGAACTGTGGGCCATTATCGGAGACGATGGAGTCGGGTAGTCCGTGCGTAACGAACAGGCGCGTTAACACGTTGGTGATTGCTAGTGTGGTGGTCGTGGATAGCTGTGCTACATCAATCCATTTGGAATAAGCGTCCACGACCACTAGGAACATCTTCCCATGCAAGGGGCCGGCCAGATCGATATGGATTCTAGACCAAGGGCCGCTGGCGCTCTTCCATCTGGTAGGGGTGGCAATGGGGGGAGCAGGACGGGATTCCTGACAGATGTTGCAGGAACTTACCCAATTGACAATGTCCTCGTCTAGACCCGGCCACCACATGTAGCTGCGTGCTAATGCTTTCATTCTCACGATGCCAGGGTGTCCTTCGTGCAACGCCTCCAGGACTCGGGTACGCAGCGAGGTCGGAATGACCACTCGAGTGCCCCATAGTAGACAACCCTGCAAACTGGACAGCTCCTGCATGCGAGTCTTAAATGGAGTTAATTTGTTATCAACGATGCCACCCGGCCACCCCCTCCTCACCCAGTCGAGCACCTGGGCGAGCGTTTGGTCTGCCTTGGTTTTGGCGGCGATGTCAAGGGCGGTGATGGGCAGGTCCAACTGGGTGATCTCGAAAATGGCGTTGACAGGAGCGGGGTCTTCAGCCGGAGCGGGTAAGGGGCAGCGACTGAGAGCGTCGGCGTGGGACAGTGTTTTGCCCGGGCGGTGAATAAGTTTGTAGGAGTAGGCCGCTAGGAAGAGTGTCCACCTTGTCATTCTAGGGGAAATGACCTGAGGGGTCTGTTTGTCCCCGGCCAGTAGGCCCAGGAGGGGCTTATGGTCCGTAACCAGTTCGAAAAAATGGCCAAAAAGGAATTCGTGAAACTTTTTCATGGCCGCAACAGCTGCTAGGGCTTCCTTGTCGATCTGGCTGTAATTGCGTTCCGTGGCCGAGAGCGTCCTTGAGAAAAAGGCGATGGGAGCCTCGGCGCCATTGGGAAGTCTGTGACTAAGGACCGCCCCAATTCCAAAAGGGGATGCGTCTGCTGCCAGTACTAAAGGAAGGTTAGGGTCGAATTGGATAAGCACCGCCTCTGACGTGAGTAGTGATTTGACGGTGTTAAACGCCTGGTCTTCTTTGTGCCCCCAGTGCCACGGTGACTGTTTGTCCAATAATCTGTGAAGGGGTTCGGCTACTGAGGCTTTGTGGGGCAAGAAGGATGCGTAAAAGTTCAGCAGCCCCAAGAAAGCTTGCAGCTCCGTTTTGGAGGTTGGAGTGGGAGCCTCGTGGATTGCCCTGACCTTGGACTCCAGGGGGTGAATGCCAGAGGCGTCAATTTTATAACCCAGAAAGTCCACCTGTCTAGTGGCAATGGCACATTTTTCTTTTTTTTAACTTGAGGCCATGCTGTCTGAACCTCTCTAACACTGCTCGCACTCTCTGGAAGAGTTGGGGTCTGTCCCTGGCTGAGACCAAGATGTCGTCGAAGTAGGGTACTACACCAGGGAGGCCCTGTAAAATCCGCTCCATGAGGGACTGAAAAATCCCTGGGGCAACACTTACGCCAAATTGGAGACGCTTGCATCGGAAGGCACCCCTGTGAGTGACGATGGTCTGAAGTTCCGCTGTTTGGTTATCAACAGGGAACTGCTGATACGCTTGAGACATGTCCAATTTAGCGAAAATACTGCCCGGCTCGAATGTGTGCAATAAGTGCTGAATGACGGGCACAGGGTAGGCGCTAACTTGTAAATATTTGATTGTTGTCTTGTAGTCCGAGCAAATTCTCAGGCTACCATCTTTTTTGAGGGGTGTGACAATGGGCGTCTCCCACTTGGCGAAATCTGTTGGCTCAATGACCCCTTGTTTTAATAGTTTATCCAATTCAGCGTCTAGTTTTGGTCGAATAGCAAATGGAACTCTACGCGGTTTTAGTCTGATTGGAACTGCCTGGGGGTCAACTGTGAATGAGATGGGGGTTCCATTATAACACCCCAGCTCCTTGCTGAACACATCTGCGAAATCAGCGAATAAGGAGTCAGTGTCTAAGGTTGAGACAGCATGGACTCCTGTTAGCCCTAGGCCGAGGTGGGGAAACCAATCGAGCCCCAATAAGGTGGGTAAATTGCCGTTAACTACCACTAGAGGTAGGTGACCTTTAAAAGTTCTAAAACTGACAAAGAACTTACCTCTGCCGATCACAGGAATGGTCTTCCCCTGGTAGTCCTTCAGGCCGAACTCGCATCTTTGAAGCCGGGTGGTAGATAGGCTGGGGTGGAGTCTCTTGAGGGTGTTCCACGAAATTATTGAGAGCGCTGACCCTGTGTCAACCTCCATGTGGCACGGTTTACCTTCTAGGGAAACGGAGAGAGAAATTTTACTAACAGTGTGGCAAGTACGCTTGGCAAGGCGGTGCGTGCGACAGTTTAATACTTGCCTCTGAGGTCCCGAGTGCGAGGGAGGGAGTCTGTGTGCAGCGCTTTGGGGGGTTTGGCAGACTCTCGCGATGTGCCCCCTTTTATGGCAGTTGTTACAGGTGGCTCCTTTAAACTTGCAGGTGGCCCTTTGATGCGATCCCCCACAGGCTAGGCACAGTGTGATGTGCTTGGGTGGACCGGTGTTTTCTTGTTTGGCCCCTACCTGCGGCCGTTTGTCGTAGGCGAGGCGGTGGACGTCGTTTTCGTCGTTGAGGGTTTCCTCTGCTACCACCTCCTCGGAATGGACTGGGAACGATGCCAGCTTGGCGCTTGGGCCCTGTATTTCGGTGGCTGAGTTCGTTGCCAGCTCGGCTGCCAGGGCCTCCTCGACCGCTTGTGCGAGGTTGAGGTCTTTTTTTGCTAGAAGGCGCCTCTGTAGGTTGAGGTCCTTGACCCCACAAACTAATTGATCGAGGAGCATGTCCTCCAGGTATGTTCCAAACCCGCAGTGCAGAGCTGCTGTTCTGAGGGCGGCCATATATTGATTGATGGTCTCCTTACTCGATTGCTTCCTCATACGGAAAGTGAACCTCCTGGCGATCTGTGAAGGCCTGGGAGCGTAGTGGTTAGTGAGGATCTCAAGCAACTCGGACCACGGGACGTTTTTCAACTCTCTAGGAGCTACGAGTGCTGCGGCAGTATCGTAAACGGTGGCTCCGCAGTAGATTAGGAAATAGGATTTTTTCCGATGCTCTCCCGCATCCGTCAGGCCGACCGCATCGATGTAATGGTTGAAGCGGTTCTTATACGATTCCCACTTCTCTTCGTCTGGTTTGAACGCCGGGAATACTGGGTTGGAACTCATGGTGCTGGAAATGGCTGGGCTACCTGCGGAAAAATCTCTCTGGGGACAACGGGCGCTCGTGGGTTGCAAGTGAAATCAGCTCTGGAGAGGTTTTTTGCTATCCTCTCTTTCTCTCTGGGTTAACCACGTTGGCTGTTAGCCGTTTGAGGTGTCTAGATTCGCGCCAGCGTGGGCGTTAGTGACTTACTACAGCGCTGTGCTGTGTCTCTCTTGGTTTGAAATTCAAATGACACCCGTTTGAATTTCGCGCCTAATACTGAGCGGCTGCGGCTCGCAGCGCTTCACTTTCCCCGTAGCTGGGCTAACAAGCGGCTACAGACGCTTCTAACTTTCGAACCAGACCGCTTTCTCTGGCTGCAGATCAACGTTCGCTCTTTTTGTTGGCTGACCGCTCTCTCTGGCTGCGGTCAGCGTTTCTCTTGTAGTCGGCCGATCGCTCTCTCTGGGCTGCGGATCGGCGACTAGTGACTCAGCGGTTGCATGGTGCTTCTGGTAGCCATCCCATCCTCGTCGCCAGTGTTAAGTTTGAGCAATGAGAGGCTGAACCAGAGCATGAGTGCAACAATACTTTATTATAACAATAAAGGGCTGACCATGCTTGCCACGCCTGGAACTGGCTCGCAGCAATCAGCAACTGGTTGGACCCCGCAGCCTGCTTTTATAGCTGGCTGCTGGAGAGAATCAACCAATGAGGAAAGGGGGAAGAACGCCCACACAAAGTGAGTGGACCTGAGTGAGAACTCCTAGAGTCCTCAGGACATAACAGCCACCATTACTAAAATCACAAAGTTGTATGATCAGAATAATACTTATCATGTGTCTCATTAAAATAGAATATTAGCTAAAGTATACACAGAACCAGTAAGAAGCAGAACACTATATTCACTAACAGGTTCCTACTTGTTTTAACTCCAGATTCACCTAATAAGTTGAAGGGATCATTAATTGAACTAACAATCAAATCCTATGCATTCTTATACAATTAAAAGATTTCATGTGCTTGGAACAGCATAACATTATAGCTGTACCTTAATTTGCATTGATTTCAGGTAAACCAAGATCACAATTACTTTGTCCTATTGAATTTAATGGAACCAAAATTCAATAAACTCTTTATGCAATCCATTAAAACAATGTCTACTTATCTAAATATTAAAAGAATCTAATTCAAAGTTCAGCATAGGTTACTGTGGGAATAATTTCTATAATCAGAGATTAGCACAATAGTGAAAAAAATTCAGTTGTGTGTTTTTTAAAAAAACAAACTGTTTTTTCCTCACCAATGAGTAATCATTTTGGGGATAATTCTTAAGTTCTATATTTGTCTTGTATTTCTGAAGTATAGGAAAAATAATAGAAATACTTTAATTTTTTAAAAAATCAATATACGTTAACTTACCTTGTTCACAACAGCATGAAAAAAAATTATGAAGTTCCTTGGGCAACATTATTATAAGCATAATTCTGCCTTCAATGCTAATTTTGAACTTCTGTATACATGGTTTTCTTCCAAGAGATGTGTTGCAGTTGGTTTTGTGGAAAATATCTTCATGCATCATCTCTTGATCAAAGGTGGTATTCAACAGGTTCGGGCCAGTTCTGGAGAACCAGTAGCGGAAATTTTGAGTAGTTCAGAGAACCAGCCAAAACCCACCTCTGACTTGGAGATTTTACAGTATCCTTCCCCTGCCAGGCCCATCAAGCCATGTCCCCAAACCGGTAGTAAAAAATTTGAATCCCACCATTGCTCTTGATACATTTCTGAAGCAACTTGATAAGAGAAGAGAAAGAATCACATTGCTATATCTGGTTTATAAAACATTATTTTACTTTAGGAAACTGGATATAAATCTTTCATTGTCACTATTATATGCTGATATGTTGATGATACAACTTTAAATCAAGGATTAAACTTTGTAACAGTTGTTGATTTTAAGAGCTTGTTGCAGCAGTTTTAAGCTCATATCTAGTTGCCTTTAAATTACTTGTGTTACTTTGAGTCCCATTCTCTTCATTGATATGTTGGCACTGTTATATTAAAAACCATAAAAATTCCAGTATCTGGTGAAAACTGTTTAATGGTTATAGTTTTGCACACACACACAAAAGTTACATGTCCTGGGATGCTAGAAAGCAATCTATGTGATGGTTGCTTTCTAAATCAACAAGGCAGCTTTGGAAACAAGGTATAATACTGAAATATAGGTGTAGTTATGGTTTCTTCTGTTTGTTTATTGACCATTTCTCAAGTATGCATAGCAATTGAAGATATAAAAGAGATTCAGTTTTTGAGTTTCATCTGTCAGATTTCTCAGTGCAAAACTTTGGAAAATTAAAGCATCTTGTTAATTAATCCAGTGATATTAAAAGTGTGGGAAATGCTGCAACTGATAATTAAAGAAAGCTCTGGAAGAACATGACAAAAATGTAAATTTACTGAAATTTGGTTATCATTTCTTAATTGAATTAACACTTTACCTAATACATTCCAGACAAAAATCCTGAGCATGTGTGCTAAAAAAATATTGGCTTTATTTCCCAAGATACTATTTTTCTTCCGTTTTTCTTTGATGTCTCTAAAGAATCTGGAGACAAAAGCTATTGAAACTCTTAACAGAAAAGCAGATCGAAGTAAATACATAACACAGAGCTGGCTAAAATCTGTCTACATACAGTTGCTTTTGTTCCAATTAATTGATGCTTAAATTCTTTTTTAAAATTTAAACATGGTTCACTAAGCTCAGTCTTGCTGAGTTTCCACACACACATTCGCTATCCATCATCCACCTTCACTTTTTTGGAAGAAAATCTCGAGCTGCCTGTCTGTATATTAGTAGGGCGCGATGACGACATGCCTGCTCATTCTTTGTTTACATCCCTCCTCTTTCCGACCCCTCCAAATCCCTCTTTGCGGCGAGATTGGCTGTAAGGGATGGTAAGAGACCTTCGCGATCTGCTTCCTGATTGGGCAGAGTGTTCATAAAAAAGAAGGCGGTGCGGCTTTACGTGATTGCGCTGTCCGCTGATTGTCAGTGCGGTAGTGCCTCCGTTTTGCCGTTTGCCACTTAGGTAGAGGAAGCTCTCGTTGCTTCGCGCCGGTTACTGTCTTGTGTGAACCCGCGTTGGCGTGAGAAGTCCTCGTAATCCCGACGTCAAGAAGAACAGGCAGAAGGTGGGAAAGAAGAGGGAGCAGAGCATGGCGGCATCAACGCCAGATAAAAACATCAAGAAGAAAACGGAGAAAAAGCTGGCTGTTCGTGAGGAAGCCAAATTATTGGCTAGTTTCATGGCGGTCATGAATAATATGAGGAAGCAAGTAAGTGGAGAGGAAGGGAGGGCGGAGGTAAGGTGGGTGAACTGGGCCTCCCGTAAAGAACCCTTGGCGGAGCCTGTCGCCTTATGGGATCCAGCAAAAACCCGGCGCTGGGGTAGGGACTATGGGTCGGATCCCCTGCTCGAAATCGAGGGATCAAAGTCACGGCAGTTTCAAGTGACCAGCGCTGCCTTCCTAGTGAAGAATGTCCCTAGGAAAAGGTCCCAGTTTTGAAGGGCTTGGCTTTGGCATTGTTTTGTTATTTTGCCAAGTCTCGGTTATCGTTCTTCCGTATGGCAAACGACGACGATGGGGTGCCTGGTGCTGCAGGCATAAAGCTGCTGGTTAATTGGGGGGATTTGAATTAGCAGCATTTTGGTTCATCACTCAATCTTTTACATTAGTGTAGTTATCTGATTCTTTTACATACAAAATGCAATTCTGATATTCTAGAAGAATTGTAAAGGTGTGGTTTTATAATCCAGTCTGTTCCACTTGGTACATAACTTATGCCACCAGACTCTAAATTCTAGACCTAGAAAACCTAGAACTATGCCACCTTCGGTCCGATCTAAGTATATAAAATCATACATTGCAATATCCTACCTGTCAATGAATACTTCAGCTTCAACCATAACAACACAAGAGCACACAATAGATACAAACTCAAGGTTAATTGCACCAAACTTGATTGCAGGAAATACGACTTCAGCAACAGAGTGGTCAATCAATGTCTGGAATACTCTACCTGACTCTGTGGTTTCTTCCCCAAACCCCAAAAACTTTAACCTTAGACTGTCTACTATTGACCTTACCCCTTTCCTAAGAGGTCTGTAGGGAGCGTGCATAAGCGCACCAACGTGCCTACCATCCCCGTCCTATTGTATCTTTTGTTTTTTTTTAATGTTTCTTATATCTATCCGTGTATTCATAATTATGTTTTTACTTATACCTATTGTAAGCAATTGACAAAAATAAATAAATAAATGTTACTGTTAATTATGTTAACTTTATAGTCAAATTATATTGGAAGAAGATAATACAATGTGCCACGATACTACCCTGCAGGTAGTGTTTATATTTCCGTCTTGGTAACTTTCATATCTTGGAGTTTCAGAATTCGCTAGGCAGTAAACGTAGGCTTAGTTTAGTGAAGAAAATAAACATTTCTACCAATTTTTCTGAATATAAGATATATATTTCTCTATCATAACTTTGTGCTTTTTTGGTTCTATTTTAGAAAACACTATGTGACGTTATATTGATAGTCCAGGAAAGGAGGATTCCAGCTCATCGGGTTGTACTTGCTTCAGCCAGTCACTTTTTTCACTTAATGTTTACCAGTAAGGTTTTTTTCCAGTTCAGCTTTTAATAGTCTCTTTAGAATATCAATTTATTATCTCTTTGCAAAAAAGGAAGAATATTTCAATTACTAGTATTGAACAAGTCTTGTTACTATAATTTCTATAATCCTAATTAAACCATGATATTAATGCCTTCATGCAGTACTTCATTTTCTATAGTTTAAAACTACCCATAGGAAATTATCAATAGATAGCTGGAAAAAGTAATGTCGCCTCCATGACAGAGTGTGTGTGAGAAGAATTATGAAAATGTTAGGCTATATCCTTCAGGATAAAGCCTAACATTCCATCCTACGTGGGGCTGGATCACCAGCTATTTCTAAATTGGCCACAAATAGATGATCAAGTGCAAATAAGCATTGTGCCATTGCCACTGACTCAATTGTGCTTCTGGAAACATGACAGAACGTTCACTTTGAAACAGAATGCTGTGGAGTTTGGGGGTGCATAGTTGTCCTACTAGTAAGAGCTTCTGCTTTGCTCAGTGTCATCAGCTTTGCTGCTGTTGCTAAACTATTATAGTACACAATGTTCTCATAAATGTCCTAAGCTGAGAAATGGAGAATAAACTTTGATACATCCCTTCTCACTTGTGGTCAGCTTCCCTTCCAGCCCCAAAACAAATGTAATCACAACAGGGATTGTGGATCTGATACAGTACTGCTACTTAGTCCTCTGAGCCATAATTCTTGGTATCTGTAAATGTGATAGATGTGGCTTACTGGTAAATAGTGTTTGTGAGTGACAATCGCAACTGGAAGTACCTAAAAGAGGATATAATGAGTGTTCCAGAACTGCATCTGAAAAGAGCTCCCCAAAGAAACAGGTTTGCCCTTTCACATATCATAGTAGCTCTGCAAGGTTTTTTTTAAAACTCTTTATATTATCTAATTACAGCAAATATGATTGAATCAAAGTCATTTGAAGTTGAATTAAAGGATGCTGAGCCAGATATAATTGAACAGCTTGTGGAATTTGCTTATACCGCAAGGTAAGTATATCACAATATTCACTATTGCTAGCCACCTACAAATACAAATCTAGAAAACTTCATTCATGTGATTAAATTGGCCATTCAAGTACAAAATATTAGTATATATCTAGTACAGAATGTTATTTTAAATGTTGCAAGAAATATTCACATTAATTTTATAAGCAAATGTTATAGTTGTCTGTATTTCTACATTTTTTAATTGTTAAGAAAATCTTCTCAAATATGCCTTTTAAACAGGGTTGCATGTTGAGTCCCTTACTCTATACTCTTTATGTGCATGACTGCATTCCCACTCACACTAATACTATTACTAAATTTGCAGATGATACAACAGTAGTGAGACTTATCTCCAGGGGAGATGAGTCTGCCTACTGAGATGATGTGGACTGATTGCTTTCATGGTGTGGAGACAATAACTAAAAAACTGTTGGGTGACCTTCTACCGCTGCACCATAGAGAATATCTTAACTTACTGCACCTCTGTATGGTTTGCCAATTGCACAGTGGCAGATAGGAAAGCATTCCAGAGAGTTAACGTCATTGCCCAGAAGATCATTGGTTGCCTTCTCCCCTCTTTGGAAGAGCTTTATAGCTCCCGCTGCCTTAAGAAAGTTGAAAACATTCTCAAAGATTCATCTCATCCTGGGCACCCTTTTTTTGAACTATTACCATCTGGCAGACAGTACAGAATAATAAAAAACAAGCACAAATAGGCTGAAAAACAGCTTCTATCCCCGGCAGTAGCTCTTTTGAATTCTACTGTATAGTGCAGTGTTGATGGTTTTCGGTTCAATGTGTGGAGTGTGAAGGATGTGTGTTTGTGTTTATTTTCATGGTCATGATGTGCACTGAAGATGATGTTTGATTTCCTTGTACAAGCTGCAATGACAATAAAGTAAACTAAACTAAATGCTATTTATAGATTTTATTATAGATAAGTATGTGTCAGTTTATATGTATATTTGTTAAAATGTTTACTTGTGTAAGCATTTTTTACAGAATTTCTGTGAACAGCAACAATGTCCAATCATTGTTGGATGCAGCAAATCAATATCAAATTGAACCTGTGAAAAAAATGTGTGTAGAGTTTTTAAAAGAGCAAGTGGATGCTACAAATTGTCTTGGTAAGGCATCTCCCTCCTGTTAAAGATATTACAAGATTTCCAAAGTTTGGAATGAAGAACTTTGTCCATTGTGTATTATATTTTTGAAATAATTTTTATAATATATAATTTTGTTAAGATTTGAAAATAATGTGCATATTTCAAAACATTGAGGCTTATATCTGCTTATATTTGCTTTTTGAGAATCCATTTAGTGTAGTGGTTAAAAACTAGAAATTAGGAGACTGAGTTCTAGTAAAAAGCCAGATGGGTGATTTTGGGACAGTCATTTTCTCTCAACCTAGGAATCAAGCATTGGCAAATCACTTGTGCAGTCTTTTCAAGAAAACTGCAGGGACTTGTCGATAAGCATCAGTGACTCAAAGGTACAAAAATAATGTGTGCTTTATATATGTCACTAAGCTAACCACTTCTTTTCTCCATCTTGCACTAGGTATAAGTGTATTAGCAGAGTGCCTTGACTGCCCAGAACTGAAGGCCACTGCGGATGATTATATTTATCAGCACTTCACAGAGGTGTACAAGACTGATGAGTTTCAGCAGTTAGATGTTAAACGTGTGACACATCTCCTCAATCAAGACACTCTGACTGTAAGAGCTGAAGATCAGGTAATTTAAAAACAAAACTTTTTTTAAAACATGTCTTCCTCAATCTCAGGTCTTCTACCTGCACAGTATCTTAGATGTTCCCAGCATGCACTCTTCTGGACAAAGAGCTCTGATGCCATTCCTGGGGTCTGTTGAAGCCATGCTGCAAGTACTTCTATTATCACTGGGATCACTTTGGCCTTTACTTTCTGCATCTAGTTCTTCCTTCAGGTCCAGGGGTGGGATTCTACCAGTTCGGCCCAGTTCTATAGAACCAGTAGCTCCAAAGAGCAGCTGACATCAAATTGGTTCTCTCTGAAGATCATCTTTTCTTCAGTTGGGCCCATCCATCCGCCCGCGCTCTAGGCTGTCCTTAATTCTTACCTTACCTTACAGCAGGAGATGGTGATTGCTTGCAGGAAAAGCTGTTTTGCAAGTACTGTGTGCACATGCATGCAAAGTGCATGCTCACCGAACTGGTTGTTATGCTGGTAGGATCCAGGTCCTAGTTGATACACAGTTCCATTCAGGCCTAGTTGATGCACAGTTCTAAAGTCCATAAGGAAATTTCTTAATGTTAGCAGTTAATGCAGAACAGCTATTTATTAATATCAATGTTTGGTTTCTAAGTTTCTTTACCAATTTTGAATGAAAAAAAGAACTCGTAATTGAGATTGACAAGTGGTGAGAGATGAAAAAATGTCTCAGATAATAGTATCCTCTGCTAAACGTCCGTTTGAACTGGAGCTTTAGAGTTTTTTATTTTAAATAATATTTTCTTTGCCATTTCTAAAATAGACTTCTATGTATATGTGTCTAGTTAAATATTTTTTCCTAATTTCCAGGTTTATGATGCTGCTGTTCGTTGGTTAAAATATGATGAGCCAAACCGCCAGCCCTACATGGTTGATATCCTTGCTAAAGTCAGGTTTCCTTTAATTTCAAAGAATTTCCTTAGTAAAACTGTACAGGCAGAGCCACTTATACAAGACAACCCAGAGTGTCTCAAAATGGTTATAAGTAAGTTTATCATCAAAATGTCTTTTCGACATCCTAATATTGATTTCCTCTATGAGCTGCCTATTTCATCATATAACCCTTCAAAAATAACCCCTTGAAAAGAGCTAATTTTATCCTTTGGGACTGAGTGGGCAAGAAACCAAATGTCTTTTACATTCTAGCTCTATCCTTCCAAGAAAAATATTCTTAAACTTCAGTCCTTCTTTCAGGGAAATGTTATTTCACAGGCCATACTCTCTTTGGATTTCAAACACCTTTTTTAAGAAGTTCCACACCTGCTTGGACAAGGATGATTTGGGGTACACTGATAAATTCTAATCATAAAACAAGTAACAGTCATTGCTGTGATGTTTTTTATAGTTCCTTTGACATTCTACTTAATGGAGTTTTCTGTTTTGTTCAGGGCTATCTGCACAAAGCATGTTACACATTTTAAAATGCCAATTGTGCAATTGAAATGATTTAGTTATAGTTTTGTTCAGTACAGGTTAGACAAATTCAATGAATTATACGTTGATCTGCCTTTAAATCTTTCAGGAGCCAGCAGGTTTAGATAAAAAAGCTATATTGTTGATTCACTATGATAAATGTATCTCAGCAGTGTTAAAGTTCCTCACTGTCTTTCAGTTTATTTTTAGGTACAATTTGAGATTATCTTCTTGAACTACTTGGGATTAGGCAATCCAAAATGCTGCCTTAATCCTTAGACTTCCCTTTTTGTAATGAGTGTTTTGCTTGTGAAATTCTCTCCATAGAATGTCCAAGTACAAGAGTTAGATCCATGTGTTTGGCAATATCCTGTCGTTCAGCCAGTACCCCTCCTTTCCTTTCAAGACAAGGTGGTCTGGTACTTTGGTGCTCTCAAAATAGTAGTAATTGGATAGTGGTGAAACTTCAGCTTTAGCAGAATGAGTGGAAAGAAAGAAAAACAGTTATGGCCTTGCTTTCTGAGAGGTCTTCATAAATTAAAATTGCTGTTTAATTATGTGTGTGAACATGCAAGGGTGAGGAAATAAGTGCTTCACAGAAGGAAGAAACTGATGCCCTCTTTTACTTGATGACCCCTTGTACAAAAGTGTACCTACTTATGCCGCTTTATGTTGCAAATAAAAAAACTGCCCAAAACCAGTTTTTTTTCTTTAGGTGGAATGAGATACCATCTCCTTTCTCCAGAAGACAGAGAAGAATTGGTGGATGGGACTCGTCCAAGAAGGAAAAAGCATGAGTACCGTATTGCCTTGTTTGGAGGATCACAGCCCCAGTCATGTCGATACTTCAATCCCAAGGTAATTTTGATCTTCCATTGTTTGTATGGATTAGATGTACTATATAAAAGTATATGTTTACTTAATATGTAATCTTATATGCCTGCATTTTGTGACTTTGGTCTATGCTACGGTTATTTTATTTTTATTTCAAGCAAAACCTGGTTTGTACACCAAAGAGCGAAAAGCTGAGGAGTGTACTTAAATTGCAGGTGTTTGCTGTTAATATAATTTTTTTTTTTACATGTTTGATATGTCACACACAAAAAGCCACATTTTGTTTTTTCTAAAATAGGAAAAACAGGGTCCTAAAGAATGAGGCATTGGAAGATTAAAGTTTCTAGAGTGCACCTCTATTTTGAGGTTGCTTCAGCAATTTAACATTTTTTAAATATATAACATTACTGTCAGGGGCATGGGTCTGACATAGTTCACATGATTTATTAACATCCATGTTTCATTTCATAGCCATCGTAAAAGCAGTCATAAAATCAGATGAGTTCACATGATCACCCATTTAACAACTACAGTTGACTTACAAGCAAAATTCCAGGCTCCTTTGTGGTTTCTCACCTTAATATATCATGTTCTGAGGATAATACAAATGTTATTCATGTTATTCTCAAACTCTTGACAAAAAATGGAATAAAAATAAAATATTAATGATTCTAAAACTGAAGACTTCTTTTTGTTAAGAAGGACATGGCTGAAAATATTCTATAATACTTTGGTTTATTTTTATGCAGGATTACAGCTGGACAGACATCCGATGTCCCTTTGAAAAGCGGAGGGATGCAGCTTCTGTGTTCTGGGATAATGTAGTTTATATTTTGGGTGGTTCCCAGCTTTTCCCCATAAAACGAATGGATTGCTACAATGTGGTTAAAGACAGCTGGTACTCCAAACTGGGTCCTCCAACTCCTCGTGATAGCCTTGCAGCATGTGCAGCAGAGGGTAAAATTTACACATCTGGCGGTTCAGAAGTAGGTAAGACACATTTATGGACATGGCTGTGGGAACATTAAATGCTACATTTGGTACTATATTGTTGCAAAATATTTCTTTTAAAAGAACTAGGTTATAGTAAACACTATTATGCCAATTTTGAATCCACATGATAGCACAGTAATATTACATGCATTAGTTAAACTATATTTCCCCTAATAGAATGGAAGGTTTTACAGCTTGGATTATTTTCTATACATACATACATACATACATACATACATACATCTGTGTGAAAAAGTCCTGCACGCTTTATGGTTTACAGTTTATGACTTTTTTTGAATAGACTATTGATTTTATGATATTTTATGCTAACTGCTATGCAAATATTGTTATATTTAAATAGATACTGGTGGTTTTTAAGTGAAAAGCATAAACTTTTTGCAATTTGGTGGTGTTTGGATGGGGATTGTGAATTTTCTTGCATGCTTACAATGACTATGAAAACAGATTAACTGATGCATACACGGTGGCATATGGGATGCAATTACTAAGGCCGATGCTAGTGTTTTGTTAACGTTTTTGTTGTTTGTGGCCCTGAAAAGGACCAGTTAGGTAACTAAACATGGTTACAAATATGAGATTGACCAGCCTTTATTGCTTATCACCAGGCGGCATCGCTTCAACATAAACTGTATAAACCTTTGCATGTGATCTTTGGTGACAATGTGGTGCCAGGCTGCAATAATGGATTCAGTCAGCTCCTGCTTGGTCTTCGGATGCTTCTTGCTTATTTCATAACCAATCTTGGCCCACAAGTTCTCAATTGGGTTCAAAACTGGGCTCTGAGCTGGCCAGTCCAGGAGTTGAACACCATGCTTCTTCATCCACTGCTGGATGGACTTGGCTCGATGATAAGGAACGTTGTCATCCTGGAATTAAAAAATGTCCTTCCCTACAAGTTGCTGAACTGAAGGAAGCATGGTCTTTTCCACGCTTCAACATACTGCTTGGAATTCATGATTGCCTGCACGATTTGTATCCGACCAATACCAGAAGCAGCTATACAGCCCCAGATCATCATGTGCAATGGATGCTTCACAGATAGATTCTGGCAGTACGGCCTAAATTCTTCATCTGGAAATCTTCTGACATGCTTATTGCACTGATTCCCAGTCAAGTAGAAATTGCTCTCGTCACTGAAGATGACCTTGGCCCACTGTTTGTTGGTCCATTTGGTATACTGTACACTGTATGCAGAAGTGATGCCACCTGGTGATAAGCAATAAAGCTGGCCAATTTCATATTAGAAACCTTGTTTGGTTACCTAAACAGTCCTTTTCAGGGCCACAAACAATAAAAATGTTAACGAAACACTAGCATCGGCCTTAGTAATTGCAACATGTATGCCACTGTGTATGCATCAGTTAATCTGTTTTCATAGTCATTGTAAGCATGCAAGAAAATTCATAATCCCCATCCAAACACCACCAAATTGCAAACAGTTTCTGCTTTTCTCTTAAAAACCACTAGTATTTATTTAAATATAACAATATTTGCATAGTAGTTAGCATAAAATATCATAAAATCAATGGCCTATCCAAAAAATGTCATAAACCGTAAAGTATGCAGAACTTTTTCACACAGCTGTGCATACATACATATTTGTATGGAAATAATTTTCACTTAGCACATTGAGCCTTAGCTCATTGGACTTGAATAAGACTGTCATTGGTTTTATTAATGTGTTGATAAACATATAAAATGCAGCTCTTTTTTTGCAAAGCTTTTTGATAATTTTCTTGATTATATTTTTAGAAGTATTCCTTGTAGATGTTTTATCTATCCAAATACAAAAACATTCTTTGGATTTAAATTCTTTTCTCATTACTCATGGTAATAAATAAGCCTGTATCTGTCACAAGACACATATCCAGTACAACCACAATATTAGCCATATAACCCAGTAGCATTATGTTAGTGCTGTCAAATAATCCGTTTAACCTCTTTCCTGGCCTTTTGCTTTAGGAGCAGCATGTAATTACAGCCATTTTTTCACTGGCCTTTCCATTGGAGAGCCATTTTTTAATGTCCCTTGAGTCACTGAAGGGAGAGCATGCATATTTCAAGTTTTCTCACTGCTAGCATGGCAAAAATATTCTTAGATTTTATTCACATTAAAGGGGGACACACAAACATTTTCTCCTTTGTTTTCTCTGTGCTTCTACTGAGATTTGCAATAAAAACAGTGCTTTTTTTCTTTCATTAATCAGATGTTGTCCTCAATACAAATAATCTGATTTGGTGTTGAGAAATTGAGAAGGAGATGCCAAGTTAGCATTTCCCTGAAAATGGTGTGTCGAAATCTGGGCCACTACTGAGAGTTTATTGTCTATGTTATTTGCCTAAGAACATTACCTTAACAAGCAGGTGGTCTCAGATTGTCTAAGTGACTGTATTTTTTGTTTAAAGGAAATTCTGCTTTATATTTATTTGAATGCTATGATACAAGAACAGAAAGCTGGCACACAAAGCCCAGTATGCTGACTCAGCGATGCAGTCATGGGATGGTAGAAGCAAATGGCCTTATTTATGTGTGCGGAGGAAGTTTAGGGAACAATGTTTCTGGAAGAGTCTTGAGCTCCTGCGAAGTTTATGATCCAGCAAAGGAAACGTAAGTATTGACTTTATTCCCTGTCAAAAGCGTGTATCAGGAATAGGTTTCTCCACACTGTGAAATGGTAGAAAAGTTTGATTTCTAAGTTATACAGCTCGCCCTTCAAAACACTGAAACTACTTTCTTATTTGGAGAGAAAAATGTAAAAGAGACACCCAAGAGCCACACTCCATCTGCCAGGCTTTACTGAAATAAGAGAACTAACAGCTAATTATAACATTTCTCATTAAGTCTTGATCACATTTAATGTAAAGAAAAATATGGTTGAAATTGTGCATTTTAAATATTTGCAGGTGGACTGAGCTATGTCCAATGCTTGAAGCTCGAAAGAACCATGGTTTGGTAGTTGTGAAAGATAAAATATTTGCTGTAGGGGGGCAAAATAGCTTAGGTATGTATTAATAATTTATTCTACCTAACTGTCATGGGGCTCTATGGACTGTTGCAGTATTAAAATAAATAAAACCCTAAGTTCTGCTTTCTGAAAGATAAAGACATCAACCTTCTCAATGCTTGCACTATAGGCTTTAAATAGCTATCACAGTATTTCAAGTAGATTGATATAAATTGTTCAGCACCAGAAGGCTTTAATTCAACAGAAAGTACTTCCCTAAAACTAAGCTCATCCTAATTTTCCATAAACAGGAATTATTAAATGCTCTTTATCCAGGAGTTTTTTCATATTAATGATAGGTTAAAATGTCATATAAATAAAACACAGATGCTAGGTACACAAGAGTGATTAAACTATTTCCTTATAAATATCTGTAGCCATATTCTGATAATATTCCTAATAAATTAACAAAATATAGTTTTAATTTTAATATTTCTAACCTTTCTTATATAAATATAATACATGTTCATTAATTTGCCGGTCTTGTGGTACTCATTTTCTAAATGTAACTTTATATCCCCAATATATTCTGTAAATAGTCTTTTATGTTTCAGTTCTATACATATATATCTGGAAGTAAAAATGATAAAATTTGTGGAACTTAGTTAACAAGCTAAGTTAGTACAATTTAGGTAGATACTACAATTTCAATTAATTTTGTGGCTTTATGATTCAATTTTATTACATCCTCACTACTTATGGAAGTTTTGTATTCATGATGAAGCATAGCTCAGGAATAAAACTATCAATATTCTTTTTTCTTAATTTTAAATAGAATTTTTAAATGTGGTTCCTGTACAATATTAAACATTTAAGATTTTACGGTTATATACTCCCATGTCTTATAAGTAAGTTTTATTAAACTCTGAAGATATATTCAGGATATTAAATAATTATACCATATAATTTGAAAGTTATTTTTCTTCTGTAGGACTTATATATTTTTACCTATTTCTGTAGTAGATGTAAATGTGTCTTTATACCATTCAATTAACATCTAATTTATTATATTGGTACAATATTTTAAATTTCTTGGAAAAAGTTTTAATCCTAAAATGATAATGACAAAGTTATATTAGCTTAATAATTATTTTCTTCCTTATAAAGGTGGCTTAGACAGTGTGGAATACTATGACATTAAACTGAATGAATGGAAGATGGTTTCCCCAATGTCATGGAAAGGTGTAACGGTAAAATGTGCTGCTGTGGGTTCCACAATTTATGTTCTAGCTGGATTTCAGGGTGTGGGTCGCTTGGGGCACATCCTTGAATATAACACTGAAATTGACAAATGGACAGCAAACTCTAAGGTTCGTGCTTTTCCAGTAACCAGCTGTTTAATTTGTGTAGTGGATACTTGTGGAGCAAATGAGGAGACATTAGAAACTTAAATACTTTAGTATTATCAAAAAGTACTCCTGAAAGAAATTGCTATTTGTTTTGTTCTACCTTTTAGTTGTGTCTTGCCAGTATATAATATGGGGGAAATTGGAGTGTGCTTTTCATTCTTATTTCAACTGTTCATATAATTTGAGTTTTCTTATTTGACTACTGTTCTTTAGGGCCCTTTCTATGCATTGGAATTATTTCAGTTTCTCCAAATGAGGAGTGAAGGAAAATGAAAATTTCTCAAGATGCCCAACCAATAATTTTTTTCAAAAAAAAAAAAACCCCAACTGACTAATATGCATTGCAAATTATTTCAAGAATAATCTCTTCATTAATCTTCATTTTTCATTAAAAGCACTGGCATTCTTCAAGTAGAAAACTCCCAAAACAAAATATTAAGCTATATGTTGCTCAAACTAGTGTTCAGGGTGCCACCTTATTACAGAATTCAAGTTCTGTAATTTTGTTTCCAATAATTGAAATAGTTAAATTAATTCCAGTACTATTAATCTTCTCTCTGTACTTAGTGCAATAACAAAGTACTGTTATTGTACATGAGCATTCTATCTTTAAATACTTGTATCATATAACTAAAGTGGTACCAAGGAAGAGGCAAATAATTTCTTGAACAGACATTCTTAATTCTATCTGTACAAAGCTTTATTCATTCGAGTGTAGTTCCATTATATTCTTTCAAACATGCATCTAGGAGCTGATTTTGGTAAGTGCATCTACTTTTTGAAATATTACAAGTATAAACAAGATAATATGGTAAATTTATTTTATTTGCAAGTGGATGTACAGGTGAAACTCAAAAAAATTAGAATATCGTGCAAAAATTCATTTATTTCAGTAAAAGGTGAGACTAATATATGATAGACTTATTACACGCAAAGCAAGATAGTTCAAGCCATGATTTGTCATAATTGAGATGATTATGGCTTACAGCTCACCTGTAGATAGGATACTACAGTGGAAAATTTCATGTTTTTTGCAAATTCTGTTTTTAAAGTTTTGTCCTGAACTGCAATCCATTTTATTTTTGTTTTTTATGAATTGAAATCTATGCTACAGTACTTAAAATCTGCATTGTTTTGATATGATTTCCTTTCTTCAAGCTTTTTATAAAAATTCATAATCATTTCTTACATCTCAAATAATAAGACTGCAGTAAGGTTTCAAAACTATAATGTTTATGTACTTTAAAAGTACTCATTTATGAACTTGCATATGAGAAAGTTGAATGATAACACGTATACAACTTTTTGGGATATAAGCATACGTTGCTTTCCTAATTTTTTTCAATATATTTTTGCAGTTAAAAGGGACTGAAAGTGCTTCTAGATTGAAAGGTATATTGATCAAGGTATATATTTGTGTGTCTTCTTAGAATTGGCTTGTCATGAAAATCTGAACAGTACTTAAAACAACTCTGTACGCTTGCAAAGAGGGATACAAATTTAATATTCTAACATCACTTTTAAGTTGGATTTAATATTTTAATTGGATTTAATTCTTTTAAGTTGGGTTTAAAAATAAATTATTAAGCAAATTGAGGAGCATTTTTTCCAATTAATAGATTGTCCAAAAATTAAAAAATATTAATAGATATAATAGGGAATTTAATCCAGGTCATTAACAAAATTGTTCCTTTATTTCTTTTATGAAACAGGTACAATTTCATAAAAACAATGTAAACTAATGCAAGCTCTATTGTTTTCCATAGGTTTACCTTTCTCCATGTTATTTGTCTGGGCAGAATGTGATAGATTTGTTTCATTGTGAATGTTCATTCATTGTAATGTTCATTGTTTATGAACATTATGTGTAAAAAGTTTTCTTGATAAGTTTTTGTGTCCTGGGCATCTATTAAAAAATCTTGTATATTGAATAATTTTGTTATGTATCAGAATTTTGAAAGTGAAATAAATACCTAAATGAGGCTTTTGTGGTCAGTTAATTTTATTAAATATTTGTTCCTAAAAATGTGTTGTTTTTATTTACTGTTTGTCATATCAATGATCCAAGCAATCTTTATCCATTAAATAATATCCCAATGGTATTTTAGAGAGCTTTAAAGGTCTGGCTGTTTCTTCTGGCTTTAACCACAGGTGGCTGAAATGTTCCCTTTCCACCAGATGTTGGTGCTATGGTCTGATGGATTCACCATCTTTTTTCTTTTCTAATCTGGGTCTGTTTTTATTGTTTGCTTTGTTTTGTTTCTTTGTTTGTTGTACTATGAGCCATCCAGAAATCGCCCTGGAGTCAGGCAATAAAGTGAAGTTAAAAATATATATATTATGTACTATTGCTTCAAATCCTGTACTTTTCTTAACTGTGTCCCATACACATAGAAAATTGTTAAATAGTACAAGATGTGACATATGTTAATAGTTGAAGCCACTGTTTTGGCTAGAGCTTTTTCTAAGCGTGCCAAGAACCAGTTTGTGATATGAGCAGATTCCAAAATCTATACCACTGACATAATTTTTGAATCAACATGCAGAATGCACTATGGAGATTATTTTGGCAAGATTTTGATGTAGGAATCTCTTTATATCCTGCATCTGATCCTTGATCTTGGAGACCTACAGAGGTGGTATTCAGCAGGTTCTGACCAGTTCTGGAGAACCAGTAGCAGAAATTTTGAGTAGTTCAAAGAACCGGCAAATACCATCTCTGACTGGAGATTTTACAGTACTCTTCCCCAAGCCACGCCCACAGAACCCATAGTAAAAAAATTTGAATCCCACCATTGGAGAGCTACCTTCCATACTAAGAAAGTAAAACAATCTTACATTTTACTTTCATAAAGTACCTACCTGCCATACTTTATGAAAGTAAAACAATCTCACATATGCTACACACTTGGGTTTCACATCATTAAGTTCATAAATATGCTAAGCCAAAACAAAGCAGATTACATTATGGCTTAGCATGATGAGTGAATTCACACAGTATTAGATTCCTGCACCAAAATATGTGCCTGAAGGACATGGCCAGTCACAAAACATTTTCCTAGAAGGCAAAATAACTTTACTAAAAAACACAATGGCGGGGAGGCTTACTCTTACTGTTTTGGAGAGTTTCCTACTTCACCATAAATTCAGATATAACCTATGCCAAATTATTTAAATATTTGATTTCAAAATTCACAGCATAGTACTGTATCAGTTTTACAGAATACAGATTGATAATCAAAGAGTTGAAGCAACAACCACAAACAATATCCCTGACAAAACACTAAATGAAAAATGGTGAGTATCAGTCCCTACCCTACAAACCATAAAGTACTGTTGTAAGAAATATCTAGGTCCAGTTCCAAGGTGGGAGAAAGCTACTGGAAATAAAATGGAATCTGGAGACTGATTGGAAAGAAAGGAAGCAGAACCACTAACTACATGATTCTGGGACAGCTGACAAAATGGAGTTTAGAATGAGTAGGTTTTATACTTTAGGATTCCTATGGGGTCATGTATGGATTGTTATTGGCTCTACAGGCAAAAGGGGAAATGCAAACCCTAGATGTTTGTCAGCTAATTTTGTCAGCCTTTGGCTTGTGTTGCTTATCTGAAGCTTCTGCCTGACCCAGACTTTCTGAATGGATTACCAAATCTGTATTTCTATAAACTGGCCTCTTTAGCTGATTTCTGCCTCCCTTGAGTTTTTTTCCCCATTTCTCCTTTAGGGAAATATTCTATCCTGCCTTTTTAATATTTCCCAAAATATTTCATTCTTTTTTCTTTTTTTTCTCTTTTTTTTTTTTGGGGGGGGGGGGGGGCTTCCCCACAGCACCATTTTCCACAACTATTTTCCACATAAATGAAGCTCTGTCACTATCTTGCTTTAAAGTTCAAAATAAGGGGCTTAATAGGACTATAATTGGCTAGTATTTTTATTTGGATCTAAAAGCATTCCTGAAAATAAAAGTCGCATGGAAGAGCTAATTAGTCAAGTTGTCAGCTGAAAATTAACCAAGTTAGTCAGCTGAAAAGCAGGAGCCTGTCAGTTCAAGTTTCAAGTCTAGCCTTAGCTTAAAGCTGGCCAGATGACTTTGGGCCAGTTACTTTCTCTCAACCCAATCTACCTCACAGGTTGTGGAGAAAATAGAGGAGGAATGGGTCTATTGGCATATAATTATAATTTAACAGTCTACATTTAGAAAATTAAGCCCCTAGCGTTTCAATACTTGTGATGAAATATACATTTTACAGTTACAAATTCATGGTAAACTTAGCTGCCAAAATCCACTATTACCTATCTACTACTGTGCATTTATCATTTGGAGCACCCAAGGAAGATAAATGGGGACAAATGTTATAAAGGTAATAAAATACGGAAACATTAGCATGACTTCGTTTCAGATTGAACTACTTTTTAAATGTCCTTGCTTTGGTAAGAAAAAGAAACTAGTAGTGCAAACTTTAAAATTTGAAATAATAAACAAACAAAACAAAAAGGAGAACATTTATTTATGCTAAACAACTCAATTAAAAAAAACATTAAAATATGACCACATGGAGTAAAATGGATCAGTTTTTCAATTTTGTCACTCAAAAGAAGAACACAAATCAATCCAAGATTCAGACTTCAGACTTACAATGTTTCTACCATAACAAAAACATTTTGTTGCCCCCAACATTCAATACAATTCATTGTTCGTCCTTTATTTGTAACTTCCAAATTCAATTAAATATATACAACTATGTCTAGAGATATATCATAAACCTTGTAAACAGCTACCATGAGTTTAGTTGCTAGGCTTGCTCAACACACCACATAAAAAGTTTGGCCAGTTTATGATTGAGCATGTTGTGTAAAAGATAGGTCTTTCTTCTCCATTTCCCAATCCTTTTAATTTCATCAAAATATAAAATAAAGTGGAATAGGTATTAGCAGCCCCATACGGAGACTTCCAGCTGCTGTACCTATACTTGCTGAATGTCGCCTTCAGAGGCACGTTGAATTCTTACTACTATATATTTGGGTGCCTGTTTTTTTATTTAATTAACCGTAAGGAGAAATCTAAAATCAGATTTAAAAAAAAGACAATTACTTTTTAAGATGTTGAAGGGCAATTTGCCAATGCATTTACTTCCGCCAAGGGTAGACTTGTCGTCTTTACGTCATCATTAGACGCCCCAATTGCTGCGTGCCCAGGCACGCCCCAGTCGTATTATAAATACTGCGTAGCCCTAGAGAAAATTTTGCGGAGCGGATACGGTGGTGGAAGCAAAGCGGGAAACTTGTATTGGTGGCGTTGAGA